TTTCCTCCCCAGCGTCCCTCTCCATGCTCGCCACCTTCCTGCGCTCATCCTCCGCCATAAACCCCCGTTTGCATGGTTCCACCAGACGTTTGCATCCACGTTTTGCATGAGATGGCGCCCCTGCAGACGTCGTGTGCCCGCCGGCGTGGGCGCGGCCTCCCTGCCCGCCGGCGGCTCCTTTGCCGATCACTGTGGCGGAGAGTCAGTCTGCTTCCTTCATCGGCCATGTCGGCTCACTTGTCAAACCAGCGACGTTCCCAGCATGCATTGCTGCTGCCCGATCAGTGCTACTGTCGCCTCGGCTGAATGAGGTTTTTGCAGCTCCCCTCAGATTCAAAGGTTAACATCTTGGGGGCCTGTCTCTCCTCTCATCGACCCTGGGGGGGGCTTACCTCAGGACCCCTTTCCCTTGCAGCCACACCACCCATCATGAACCTCCCCACCCTCACGATGGCCAGTATAAACACCTGAACAGCTAACGGCTGCTAATTTTAGTAACTTCAGCCGCCCTCTTTATGTCTGTCTTATTTTGGGTGTAATTCATGCCTTTGTTGCTTTCCTAGAGTTCCCGTTTGAGTGAGTGTGACATCACTTACCCCTCCCGCAGGGCCTCAGTCACCCATCCGGTTGGGCGGGCCGCCTTCTTCCACGCCCTCGGCCGTTTCGTTGCCCCGTATCCCTGTCGGTGTTTTCCTGACACTGCTTACGGCCCCGATACTGCCCTGCAGTGCGTCACCTGTGCCCAGTTCTCTGACTGGCCGTTCACGTGCCCGTGCCCCCTCCCGCTCCACCGTCTCGCCCTCTGTGCCTCGGCTGCCAGAACGCCTGCCTAGTGCCTGTTTTTAATGCCTTTTTTAACGAGTCAGCACCATGTAATTAGGAGGAATTTTTCTCCTTTCAAACTAAAACAGCCTCCAGAGGGAGGTCTGGGCCCAGGCTGGCAGTTGCTTTCTTAGTAATTACCCCCCCCCCTCCAGAGCCCGTCAGCTGGAGAATCGGGGGGGGGGGGGGGGATGACAGCGCAGATGTAAACAGGGCGGGGTGCCCGAACACGTCACCTGAGGTTACAGACGACCGCGCGGTCGCACAAGAGCCAGGTGGAAAGGCTGGGAGAAGCCCAGGGCATTGTGGGAAGAGTACAGACCGCACCTGGGTGTGGCGGGAGCGTCAGATGTGAAATCGCGGTGGGGGAGGGGCAGCCAGCGTACGAGTCTGTCCCCATTGAGGTTTCAGGGAGCATTGTTACCACTGAGAAGAAACTGCCGGGTCTTACAGGGTTAATGCAGCTGGTCTGGCATGGATGACACTGGGATGTTCTCCTCTGTGTCTGTGTGTCTGCTGCCTCTGTCAGCTCAGGATGTCCGGTCCTCTGTGGCTCCTCCATTTGATTGCTCCCTGGTGGGACAGTGGGAAGGGGGGACGGGGGCCTGATGTGAGTGCTGAGAGCGCTGAGGCTCCACTGGGTATTTGGCCAAATTTTGGCTTCTGAGAGTGAATTTTGCCTCCCCCTTGAATGACGGGATGGTGCGGTCCATGCTGTGCCTCCTGTAGCTGGATAGTGCCCGGCTGTGCCCATATCCGGAGTACGGGGTGGGGGGGGGGGGAAGGGTAATCAGGCCTGAAGCCCCATGGACACACAAATGGATTGGCTGTTTCCCTTTCAGAGGGGAGAGGCTGGTAGGATTGGGGGGGGGAGATATTGGGTCAGAAGCGAGACTGGCTGACTTTTTAAAGAGCTTGACTATATGTAACATCAGATACATCAGATACTTGAAATCTTAGCCATGAGGTCACTTCCTGCCTACTTGAAGAATGTACACTTGGAGTACATATCCACATCGATTTATCCATGAGGCTAATCAGAGAGGCTGGTGTTTTTATTTTTTGGGGGGGTGTGAGACTAGTGTTTTGGGGTTTGGGGACCAGGGAGGGGCGGTTCACTGCCTCCGTCTCCTGGGCTGCTGACATCATGGAGGGGGTTGGGTGACCGCGAGTGTTCTGGCTGCCTGCCACACCCTCTGTGTTTGCTCATGAATGACAGCTGCACCACACCCCTGTCCCCCCCCCCCCCCACCACGCCACAGCTGTGTGCTGCTCTCTCAGGCAGAACCTTTGACCTGCACTATTTTCATCCATCTTCCAACTGGTTGTCCGATACCATGTCACAGAGGACCTGGATTCTGTAAAGGGACGAGCAGGCCAGGGGAACACGTCTTGGCTGGGATGCCGGTCCCCACAGACAGGCAGGCAGATTGACAGGCAGGCAGACAGACAGACACACATTATAGGAAATTAGATACAGCAGTTCAACGGTAGGAAGCCCCTCTCAATATGGGGGGGGGGGGACAGCTCCACACGTGCAGAGCAGAGGCCCCAATCAGACCCCCTGAGACCACAGTGCTGTACCATCTGCTGTGCCCTTCACAAACAGGAATGGAAACCAGTTTGTATCGCTCCGCTAAGCACCTTCCATGGTTGTAAACATGTGCCCCCCTTCCCCTTGTGTAGGAGTTGCTTATGTACTGCCCTTTGTCTGGGAGTGATTTACGTATCCCCCCCCCTCCTCCACCCGTGGGAGTGGCTTACATGCCGACCCTCCTGTGTGGGAGTGGCTTAGGTGCCGACCCTCCTGTGTGGGAGTGGCTTAGGTGCCGACCCTCCTGTGTGGGAGTGGCTTAGGTGCCGACCCTCCTGTGTGGGAGTGGCTTAGGTGCCGACCCTCCTGTGGGGGAGTGGCTTACGTGCCGACCCTCCTGTGGGGGAGTGGCTTATGTGACGACCCTCCTGTGGGGGAGTGGCTTACGTGACGACCCTCCTGTGGGGGAGTGGCTTACGTGCCGACCCTCCTGTGTGGGAGTGGCTTACGTGCAGACCCTCCTGTGGGGGAGTGGCTTATGCGTCCCTAAGTGGGCTGTTGACAGGCTTCCTCTTGACCTTGTGACAGTCATGTAGTTGGATTCAAGCTGGTTCCCTGGAGAAGTTATTTGTGAGACTCACTGTGTCAGAGTTCGGGGTTTAAGTTCAAGTGTCTGCTCCGTATCGCGCTGCTTTTGTTTTCCAGAACCAGCGTCTGCTGCCTCAGACAGTTGCCTTGGCAAATACTTGAAAGAGCCCCCTCCCTTCAGGTAGCCTCTCTGACAGGGAGAGCTCTGTGATGTAAGCCGCCTTGGTCATTAACTGTGGTGATGATGACGCTGACTGCGGTCAGAATAACTTTGTCACATCATCATGAATCACCCTCGGCAAGTGAGTGACTGTCACCTGATCCCCAGTAAAGCCAGCCCTCGACTGACTGGTCAGTCGAGCCTGCTGATCTGCCCCTAGCGCCCCCTGCAGGGCAATGCATTCTACATATGGTTTTTTTACTTATCATTTCGGCCATTTTAAGTCCCAGGAGACCGCCTTGCACAACTTGGGACGTAATCTCCCGGAACCTGGATTGTGTATGTCATGGCGTGTCTGTTTGCAGCCTGAGAGATGATTCCAGTATTGATGGAGATTGTCTGGGCTGGCCAAGAGATGAATTGCAGCATCCCCAGGGTCTCGCGCTTGTGCGTGCATGCGTGCGTGCGCTCTCGCCCCCACTTGCCGTCAGCCTGTTTCACCGCTCTCTCACTTACAGAGCCAGCTGATCGCTCGGGTAGCGTATCGCGCTCAAGGCCGCACCGGCGCCGCCCTGGTGGCTAACCTTTAGTCGCGCATTTGGGCCTTTGCTGCGTTATCTGGCCGCCAGAGCAGAAAGGACTGTTTTTCCAGAGATCACTGGATTCATTGTTTTTCTCTGCTTCTTGCTGTCAGGCGAAAAATATATTAAAACCATATAAATGTGCTTGTTAGCAAAGGGTAGGGTGGGGTGGGCTGGTGGGAGCTGGATCATGTGGGCAAATGCAGAAACAAGCGTGTTTGTGTCGCCTCCCACTGACTTTTGATCTATCCTGATTAATGGAGAACAGACGGACAAAACAACGTCACACTGCTGCCACCGTTTTCCCTCCTAAGCTATGAGTGTTTCGTGGGGACGGGGTCCAAATGTCCCCCTGTCCGGGGCACCGTCCTCGTGGGAACAGAAACTTGTCTTGTGGACACCCACCTTCCCCAGGCCAAGCTTTTTGGTTCAAGCCAACCCCCGCCCCCTCCTCCCTTCTAGCTCAGACTCGGCACAGCTGTTCTGTGGACAGCTGCAGGCTCGGGGGGGGGGGGGGGGGGGTGCATGGGTACAGTAACAAGGTTTGTTTATACCAAGAGTGGCTGGAGGGGGGGGGGTCGCTTTATGTACATGTTTTTAGTGACACTCGTCTGTAAAAATAGACACCAGCTTGACTGTGTGCATCTCCGGCATCCTGTCTTGCTGGGGTCTCCTCCCCCCTCTGGAGTGTGAATTAAGCTGTTTACCCAGGGAGGGGGGCTGACCATATACACAAAACCCACCACCCGGCTGGAATCCCCCCCCCCAGGCCTGTGCTGGACCTATGGAGTTTGGGTCCCAGTCCCGGCCCTCACTTCCACCTAAATCTCATCTGCCGGAAACAGCCACACGGGGGCGCCGCAATCAGGAGCTGAACCCATCGCTGCACCATGATTGTCAGCTGACAGAGCCGTGTTTGCCATTATAATCCTGTTCCCTGTATTCTGTAAGGTTCCGGCCTGGTGGATCTCGAAGTTTCTCCGCTCTAGAATGTTAATGAGGTCCGTCTGTGTGGCTGGGCGCTGAGCCGTGGCCCCGAGCCTTGTGGGGGGGGGGAGGGTGGGGGCTCTTCTGGCAGCATGATGGGGTGATTAAGGAACTGGAGCGTCAGAAGGTGCTGGGCTCTCGTCCTGAAGTGCTGGCTTTAGAGGTGAAAAGCCAGCAGGGGGGCTGATGTTTGCTCATTGGCCTTTTCCTGTACCTCACTTCCAAGCTTCTGAGATGTTCTTCGCTCTCTAGGGGGCAGTATCACCATCGCTGTCCAGGTTAGCTAGACCCAGAAGATTCCTCACATCCATATTGTGTTTCTCCTTAGGGAGAAACTCTCCGGTTCCCCATCGCCGAGTGGCCCGTGGTGATTGGCCGTCTTGGGGCCCTGACCTGAGGGGGCAGAAAGGTCAAGACACCAAAGGTGAGCTGGGGGGGGTCTGAGTGCGCCACCATGTGGCATGTTTGGGTAGGGTAACATGCCGCCATTAGTGATTTTTCCTAGCCTTCATGGGGGGTAACCACTGTTCTATCTGTGGCACGTGGGAGGATGTTTCTAATGATGGACCCCCACCCAAAGCCCCCATCCTCAGCGGGACATGAGCTCAGAGCCAGGGACAGTGTGTCCACAACAGATTTTGGAAGGTTTCCGGTACTGTGGGATGCAGAGGCTTGCCTCACTGAGATGTCGAAACTGAAAGATGAATTCTTTTAGGGGGGTCCTGGAGGGAATGATAGAGAGAGAGAGGGAGAGAGAGGGAGGGAGAGAGAGAGCACGCTGGTGTCATGGTGACTACTCCGGCACCCTGTGTGACCATACAGGGGACATCAGGAGTGATAGAGGCACTGGTTCCTGTATGAGACTCCAGGGTGACACTGTAACAGAGCAGGGCCCCCTCCTCTCTGGGCTCTGTAGCTGCCTCTCCCCCAGGCCACACAGCTGCTGTGCAACCCAACACCATGGGGTGATCACTTCATCCCTGGAGCACACACCCAAGGTGGTGGTGGTGGGGGGGGGGGGGTCTGTGGGAAGCTATTCATTTTTTTTCCATTGTATTCCCACATGGTTCTGGGGGTGTCTGGTTACCCAGACTCCTTAGCAGGTGTCATGGGGCCAAGGTGGCTCTGCGCTCCAGCCCTGAGCGGCCGGATTTCGGGTCGGTGTTCCCAACCCCGCGGCGACCCGCTCGGAACTCGCCTGTCAGCACCTTGCTCATCCCACCAACCCGAACAGGCAGGGTTTCCATCCCCCTCAGATTTGCCTGTCATTTTGCATTGCGTACCATCAAAGTACACCCTGCCTCTTAAGGAAGCGCTCGGTTGCTATGCCGACAGACACACCGAGCTCCTGAGAAGCTGGTAATGCCGTTTCCATGCACTTTAAGGTAATTCAGTCGGATAGTTTGCTACAGATAAAAATTCCAAATATATGTGGTCATGGAATATCAGGAGTGAAATGCCGTCACGTAAGCAGACTGGCCTGTGTATACAGTAGCTCTAAATGTGTCGTCTTAAAAAGCGTTACTAGGTTAAACTCTAACTGAGTTATTCTCCAGTTTGGCACAAAGGCTGCACTGCGAGACGCTGGTAAAGAGGGTGTTTTTCCTGTACGTCGTGTGAGCAGCACAGAACTGAAAGTACATTGTACATCCTGCGGGGCGTGGCACAGCGGCAATGACCTCATCCTCATGCCCCCCCCCCCCCCCCCCCCGACATCTGGAAGTTCGCGGGCTAATCGGAACTGTACGGCAGGAAGCGGCCTGCTCACGGAGCCCGGGGCCGCTGGCGTTTGACGGGGCCGGTGTCCTGCTTGCTGCGTCACAGGGCAGGACAGTGTCATTGCTGCCAGCATCAGGCGACGTGACCGACGGACGTCCGGGTGGCTGACGGATTGATTCTGCGCTTCTGCCGTGTGCTGAAAGTCGGGGGAAGCAGTTGCAGTGCAGAAGCCGTCAGTCATCTAGACAGATGTCCGGCGGGAAAGAGAAATGGCCCCCGAGCCCTGCCCATTCTGAGTCTGAATGGGGGCGGGATTGAGGTGGGAGGCCGTGTTACGTCATGTTATTTGTCGCCCCCTGCAGGCCGTGTTTATGGCTGCGTCCTGCACTACCTGACCACATGGCTCCTGGGCCATTATCATCTGGCAGCCATTCAGATTTTAATCCATATTATTCCGACATCCGTCCGTCTCTATCCATTAACTGCTCTGGGATGCGGCAGTCAGCATGCGTCCTGGATGAAGAGCAGCTTCTAACATGTGAATCTCACGTCGACAATTAAGAGCATGTTAATGTACCTTGTAGTAGGAACCCAGAGTGTCATGAGACTCCCAAGCCCGTAAATGCAGGGAAGACAGGCGCCGTGCGCCCGATTAGAACCCGGGGCCCCGGAGCTGCGAGGCAACGTTGCAGCCCGCTGAGCTCGTGAAGACGTGCTGAGCCCATGCCTGTTGCTTGGCTCTTGGGACCGTTCCCATGGCGACGTGGCACTGGGGATAACGGAGGTGCGTGTGACGCCTTGGCCGTCACCGCGAGCCTGGAGCGTGCCGTCTGTCACGGGGCCGAGGATGAGGGTCTGCTGCCATCGGAGCTCCCAGCTGTGTACGGGACACGCCGCAGCTCGGGACGATGTGGACCGGGCGCTGCCAGGGAAGCCAATGGAGGCAGGTTAGGGGCAATTAATGCACTGGCAGGGAAGGACGCAGCTCTATGCCAAGACGAGCTGGCCGTTTCCCGCCTCAGAAAGGGGTGTGGCCTATGTGGGCATGGCGCCGGTGCCAATGTGTGACAGACAGGACCCTTACATGTACTCGTTTATCCCATCCGGCTCTCTCCTCCTGTTTCCGAGGGCGACGCCGCGTCAGACCGGCGGCACATGCCCAAGTCCAGCGGAGCGGCATTCTGTCTCCCGCCGAGGCGGCCGGCCGCGCCGCTCTTCTCGACAAACTGTCTCCGCCCCCGCGTTCGCATCCCAACCCCGCCTCCCCATCCACAACGTGTTGCATGATTGGTGGATGCTGTGAGACTACCCCCCCCCTGCCCATCCCACACTGACCCAGTTTTCTCCAGTCTTATTTCAGCCGGCACTGAGATAATTAAAATACGCATAATTTTTTATGTACACGTTTATTTTTTTTAGCATGGAGCGTAGGTGGCTGCGGTGGGCAGGGCTGCTGTGATGGTGCTCCCGTCTCCGTAAACACGGAGTAGGTAGGTGGGATGTGTACAGTCACACACCACTTGCAAAATGGGCAGTTAAATTCAGGCTGGCTGCTTTCCATTCACATGTCTGAAGGGTGTGTCACATGCTCAGTGTTTTCATGGGCACCTGCCCCCTCCCCTAGTTTGCTGCCTCTCATGTAGCTCAGAAACAAGACACGCCCTGGCAGACTTTGCATTTCTGCCGCCTCTGCACTCCGCCAGCCGCCCCAGCTCCTGGGGTTAGACGGGGACGTGTGGTGATGTCAGCGTGGAGCTGCCGCCACAGCCGGGCTTTCTGATTTCCCGCATGGCTGGGAGGAGAGCCGGGGTCTGAGCTGGGGGATAAACGTCACTCCCTGTGCAGCTGGGAGGGGGCCGAGTGCTCCTTCCCCAAAGCCCCATGGACCCCCAGAGCTCTGACACCAGCCAACCCTCCCTCCCGATACTTTATATAGCATACTTCTCCTCCTAAAGCAGGCCCCCAGAGGCGCTCTGCTTTCCTACAAGTTAGCAATAAGTTCAAAAACAAGTGAAATTCTCCGTTTTTTAATATTCAGGAAGGACACAAGATCACATCCCAGCAAGCAAGCGGGGGCTTTGGTTTGGCCTGACCTTACTTATGGAAACTTGCATTAATGGCTCACTGCTCCCTTGCTTATGGCCCACTGCTCCCTCGCTAATGGCTGATCACTCACCACTCCCTCGCTGATCGCTGGCCACTCCCTCACTGATTGCTCGGCACTCTCTCGCTAATCGCTCACCGCTCCCTTGCTAATCTTTGGCCACTCCCATGCTAATCGCTAATCGCTGGCCTCTCTCGTGCTAATCGCTAATCGCTGGCCTCTCTCGTGCTAATCGCTAATCGCTGGCCTCTCCCTCTCCAATCGCTCGTCATTCCCTTGCTAATCGCTGGTGAATCCCTCGCTAATCGCTCGTCACTTCCTCGCTAATCGCTGGCCACTCCTTTGCTAATCGCTGATCGCTGGCCACTCCCTCATTGATCGCTGGCCACTCCCTCATTGATCGCTGGC